TTTTGGGACAGAGAGAGACAGAGCATGAACGGGGGAGGGGCAGAGAGAGAGGGAGACACAGAATCGGAAACAGGCTCCAGGCTCCGAGCCATCAGCCCAGAGCCTGACGCGGGGCTCGAACTCACGGACCGCGAGATCGTGACCTGGCTGAAGTCGGACGCTTAACCGACTGAGCCACCCAGGCGCCCCATCAGTGGAGTTACTTTTTAACAAGAGTGCAGAATCAAGTGTACTGATCTCCCGGCCATGCCTTTTTCCCTGTCATCCTATATCCTTGTAATTCCATTAGAAGGTGATGATTGAGAGTAACTGTATAAAACACATATGCTAACCTACTTTTTAAATATACAATATTTTAAGTATAAGAATCTATGCACATACGTGGGAAAATTATTTTTATGGTAGCACAAGCATAGTAATACACTACTTAAAGCAATCTAAGGATTCAATGCAATCCCTACTCAAATCCCAAAGATATTTTTTGAAGAAAAAGAGAAAACTACCCTAAAATTCATATGGAATCTCAAGAGACCCCAACGGCCAAAATAACCTTAGAAAAAAAGAATAAACTTGGAGGCCTCATACTCCCTTATTCGAATAAATACTACAAAGCAACAGTAGTCAGATGGTGTGGTACTGCCGTAAAGACAGATATATAGATCAATGGAACAAAAACAGAGAGCCCAGAAATAAATTGTTGAATATATGGCCAAATGATCATCAACAAGGATGCCAAGACTACACACTGGAGAAAGAACAGTCTCTTTAACAAATGGTGTGGGAAAAACTGAATATCCACATGCAAAAAATAAAGTTGGACCTTTACCTTACACCATGTACAAAAGTTAACTCAAAATGGATTAAAGACCCAAACATAAGACCTAATACTATAAAACTTCTAGGAGAAAACACAGGTTAAATGTTTCAGGATACTGAATTCAGCAATGATTTCTTGGACATGATATCAAAAGCACGGGCAACAAAAGCAAAAATAGATAAATGAATTTCACCAATTTAAAATCTTCTGTGCAGCAAAGGAAACAATCAGCAGGTGAAAAGGCAATCTACGGAATGGGAGAATATATTTGCAAACCACACAACTGATAAGGATTAACACCCAAAATATATAAAGAACTCCTATAACTCCACAACAACAATTAAAAAAATTAAAAATGGGTAAAGGCAACAGATATATGAAAAGATGCTCAACATCACTAATCATCAGGGAAATACAAATCAAAACCATAATGAGATATCACTTTATACCTGTCAGAATGGAATAAAAAAGACAAGAAATAACAAGTGTTGGTGAGGATGTGGAGCAAAAGGAACCTTCATGCACCATTAGTAGGAATGCCAATTGGTATGGCCACTGTGGAAAACAGTACAGAGGTTTCTTGAAAAAATAAAAGTGGAACAACCATATCATCCAGCAATACCACTACTGGGTATTTACCCAAGGAAAATGAAAAGACTAATTCAAAAAGATATATGTACCCGTATGTTTACTGCAGCATTATCTATAATAGCTAAGATATGGAAGCAACCTAAGTGTCCATGGACAGATAAATGACTAGAACAGATATGCTGTGTGTGTGTTCATGTGCATGTGCATATATACACATATATATACATTCATACATACACACACATACAATGGAATATTACTCAGCCATAAAAAATAATAAGATCTTGCCATTTGCAACAACATGAATGGACCTAGAGAGTATTATGAGGGTATTAAGGGAAATAAGTCATACAGAGAAAGACCCTTACCACATGATTTCATTTATATGTAGAATCTAAAAAGCAAAACAAGGGGCGCCTGGGTGGCGCAGTCGGTTAAGCGTCCGACTTCAACCAGGTCACGATCTCACGGTCCGTGAGTTCGAGCCCCGCGTCGGGCTCTGGGCTGATGGCTCAGAGCCTGGAGCCTGTTTCCGATTCTGTGTCTCCCTCTCTCTCTGCCCCTCCCCCGTTCATGCTCTGTCTCTCTCTGTCCCAAAAATAAATAAACGAAAAAAAAAAAATTTAAAAAGCAAAACAAATGAAAAAAAAACAACAAAAAAAGGCAGATACAGACTTTTTAATGTTTATTTAAACATTAAATAAGGAAGGAGCAAAGAGAGAGAGAGGAGAGAGAGAATCAGAGAATCCCAAGCAGGCTCCACGCTGTCAGCTTACAGCCTGACACAGGGCTTGATCCCACAAACTGTGAAATCATGACCTGAGCCAAAATCAAGAGTTGGCGGTTCAACTGACTGAGCCACCCAGGTGCGCAGAAACAGACTCTCAAATACAGAGAACAAACTGATAGTTGTAAAAGGGTGGAGGATTGGGGGATGGGAAAAATGGATGAAGAGGAGTGGGAAGCACAGTATGGAATAAATAAGTCACAAGGATGAAAGGTACAGCATAGGCAATATAGCTAATGGTATTATAATAGTGTTGTATGGTGACAGATGACAGGTGACACTACTGGTGAACATAACACACAGAGTTGTCAAATCACCATGTTGTACACCTACAATTAGCATAACATTGTGTATCAACTATACTTCAACAAAACTGGCAAAAATTTGGATAGACATTTCTCCAAAAATATATATAAATGGACAGTAAATGTATGAAAAGATCTTCAACATCGCTTATCATCTGAGAAATGAAAGTCAAAGGCATAATAAGACACTGCCTCATCTCTGTTAGGATGGCCACTATTTAAAAAAAACAAACAGGGGCACCTGGGTGGGTCAGTCGGTTGAGCATCTGACTTCGGCTCAGGTCATGATCTTGCAGTTGACAAGTTTGAGCCCCACATTGGGCTCTGTGCTGACAGCTCAGACCCTGGACCCTACTTCAGATTCTGTGTCTCCCTCTCACTCCCCCTCCCCCGCTCATGCTCTATCTCTATCACAAAAATAAATATAAATGTTAAAAAAAATTAAATAAAATAAACAGAAGCTATCAAGTGTTAGCAAGGATGTAGAAAAATTAGAGTTCTTGTATACTGTTGGTAGGAATGAAATAGGGTATAACCATGGAAACCAGTTTGACAGTTCCTCAAAAAGCTTAACATAGAATTACCATAGGACCCAGCAATTCTATGCCTCAGTATATACCCAAAGGAATTGAAAGCAGAGACTTGACAAGATACCTGTACCCCAATGTTCACTGTAGCATTATTCATAATAGCCAAAAAACAGAAATGAGCCAAGTATCCACCAACAGATGAACAATAAGCAAGATGTGGTATATACATACAATGGAATCTTATTCAGCCAATAGGAGTGAAGTTCTGATACGCTACAACATGGATGAACCCTGAAAACATTATACTAAATGAAATAAGCCAGACAAAAAGGGACATGATTCCCTTGTAGAATACATGATTCTACTTGTATGAAATAACTAGAATAGGCAAATTCATATAGACAGAAAGTAGATTAGAGGTGACCCGGGGCTGGGAGGAGGGGAGAGTGGGGAGTTATTTCATAACAGATACAGAGTTTATGTTTGGGATTATGAAAAAAACACTGGAAATAGTGGGGATGGAACACAGTACTGTGAATGTAATTAATATCCCTGAATTATACCCTTAAGGATGGTTAAAAATGACAATTTTATGTTACATACATTTTACCACAATTTTAAATTAACTGTACACTTTATATGAATGAAATGTATGGCATGTAAATTATATCCTAATAAATTTGTTTAGAAAAAAAGGTAAAGTCCTCTAAGAAAACTTTCATTACACATGCCACCCTTCCTCTCAGCTATAGGTGGGGTCCCTTCCAAATGCGCCCAGGCTTACTTCTATCACAGCACAGCTAACCACACTATGCTTTAGTAGTCTGCCTATCTCCCCGACCAGAACTTCAGGTTTTCAAAGGCAAAAACTGAAACTGTTTGTCAGATTCATAAATTATTAAACGGTTCAATGGCAGAGTTGACCCAAGATTTGTAGTCTAAGTTGTCTTTTCAGTACCAGGGATGAATCTGTGCCATATACATCAGTCTCTCAGCTTTATCAATGTCAGATTTTAACAAATAAAGAAAATGCGCCCTTCTTGCTTATTTTGTCTCCCCTCAAAAAAAAATCCTTAATACCATCTTCTCAGCTGAATAACTATACTTGAATGTGAGTTTGCTCGCTTCATTAATAAAAATAAGTTGCAGGGAGAGGCACCTGGGCGGCTCAGTCAGTTACTAAGCTTCCAACTCTTGATTTCAGTTCAGGTCATGATCTCACAGGTTTGTGAGTTCAAGCCCAAGTCTGCACTATCAGTGCAGAGCATGCATGGGATTCTCTCTTTCCCTCTCTCTCTATGCCCCTCCCCTGCTCATGCAGTCTCTTTCAAAATAAATAAATAAACATTAAAAATTAAAAAAAAAATAATTCCCAGGGAAATCTGATACAAAGGTGACCACAGGCTGGGATCTTATATTCAAGGTACTTGAAAAAAAAATGATTAAATAACACAGCCCTGAATCTGCTTCTGGTCACAAACTATTTCCTGGTATATATGTGCTTCTTTATATGAAGTCAAATTCTAACAATAGGAACTATATTAACTACATTTTCAGATGTAAAACATGGCTGCAAACTCACCTCATACACAGCAAGATCTATACCTGCATAAGGTACGATGCCTAATAAATTGGGAATATAACCTTTGTAAAAAGCTCCCACGCCTTCATGTTTCAAAATCTTCTTGGCACAATCAAATATTCCATAATATTGTCCAGTTTTGCCTACAGCCAGCCTGGTTTTTATAACCTAGTTATAAAAGAATATAACAAAATGTTATAATTTATATTAAGTCCATCATGGAATTCAAAGTATTTTACACAGAACAAATACCCAGCACATAGTGTCCCTCAAATGACTGTCTAGTTTGTTGATGTGTTATCCCTCATATAGCATGACTAGTGAAGGGCTAAGATGACACCCAAGAGAACCTATTTACTTTAAAGAGGATCTGAATGAGGGTAGTGGCAGAGGAAATAGAAAATAATTTACAGAGGTCTTAAAATTAGATATGGAGGGTAAGGGAAATGGTAGTGCACAGGATGATCCCAGTGTTTCTAGCTTGAACACAGGAGCGAGGCAGCAGAGAAGTGGGAAAGTGATGCTATTAACTGAGATGGAGGCTATAAGAGGAAGACTATGTATTCCGTTAGGATATTTTTAAGGGGTTATGGGAAATAATATGAATAACCATATTAAGATGCTTGCAAGGAAAGCTGTATTAATATGCATAGCACAAAGGTGAAAATGAAGGGTATTTTTTGCTTAGATCTTATTATATGCTGAAAACCCCTTTGTCATACCAATAAAGATAGCCACATCTGTAATATTATTTTCGCTCTAAAGCAAGAGTTGGCAAACTTTTCCTGCAAAGGCCTCATGGTAAATATTTCAGTCTTTGCAGCCCTAAAATATCAGGTCTGTTGCATATTTTTTTAACCTCCTTTTAAAAATGTATAAAATCATTCTTAGCTCAAGGGCTATATAAAGTATTACACAGGTACATGGTTTGCCAACCCCAGGCTCTAATGATAGGATGTCTAGTTAGGACTACCATTACCTAGTCGAATCTTGAGGTTCCATTATTAAATGTATGGTACAGAACCTCTTTGGAGGGAAATGGGTACTATAATTCTTATCAACACTGTGGCAGCCAGCCTCCAAGAGGGGCCCCAACTATCCCTGCCTCCTTGTGTTCACACGGTGTGTAGTCCCCTCCCACGCTCCACCAGGGCTGGTCTGTGTGACCAACAGAATATAGCAGAAATGACAGAAGATTGCAGCTTCCATTCTAAGTGCTGGCTAAATCATTCTCTCCCTCTCTCTCTCTCTCTCTCTCTCATATCACCAACTTGGAGAAAACAGCTACATGTTGTGGGGGTACTCAAACAGCCTATGGAGAGGTCCCTGCGATAAGGAACTGATATCTCCAGCTAATAAACAGGGAGGCCCAGCAACAAACATGTGAGCAAGCTTGGAGGCAGACTCATCTGCAGGTGAACTCTGTGGTGGCTGAGACCCTAACCCACACCTTGACTCTAGGCTCAGAGAAACCCTGGGCCAACGGCACCCGACTAAGCTACTCCCAGACTCCTGACCCACAGAAATCCTGAGATAATAAATGCCCATTTTAAACTGCTAATTTGGGGGGCATCTGGGTGGCTCAGTCGGTAAGCATCCGACTTTGGCTCAGGTCATGATCTCACAGTCCCTGAGTTCTAGCCCCACATCGGGCTCTGTGCTGACAATTCAGAGCCTGAAGCCTGCTTCAGAATCTGTGTCTCCTTCTCTCTCTCCCCCTTCCCTGCTCATGCTCTGTCTCTCTCTGTCTCAAAAATAAATAAAAACATTTAAAAAAATTTAAACTGTTAATTTGGGGGTAACTTGTTACCCAACAGTAGATAATTAAACAAATAGCACCCACACAGTCAGACTTCAGAGTGGTACTTACCTCCATAGGATAAATAATAGTCTGTGCAGTTGCCCCAGCCAAGGAACCAGAAATAAATCTGTCAAAGATTCCTATTTTTTGTCCTTCCACAGTAAGCAACTTCTTGTACTGTATAAATACATATTTAAATGTATGTTAATACCTGCTATAGACTGAATCATGTCTCCCCCTCCCAAAAAATTCTTATGTTGAAGCTGTAACCACCACTGTGATGATACATGGAGATGGGGCCTCTGGGAGATAAACTGGAGTTAGATGAGGTCATGAGGGTGGGGTTCTTTTAAGCGGCCGACTTCGGCTCAGGTCATGATCTTGCAGTCTGTGAGTTCTAGCCCCATGTCGGGCTCTGTGCTGACAGCTCAGAGCCTGGAGCCTGCTTCAGATTCTGTGTCTCCCTCTCTCTGACTCTCCCCTGTTCATGCTCTGTCTCTCCCTGTCTCAAAAATAAATAAACGTTAAAAAAAAAAAAATTAGGGGCGCCTGGGTGGCGCAGTCGGTTAAGCATCCGACTTCAGCCAGGTCACGATCTCGCGGTCCGTGAGTTCGAGCCCCGCGTCGGGCTCTGGGCTGATGGCTCAGAGCCTGGAGCCTGTTTCCGATTCTGTGTCTCCCTCTCTCTCTGCCCCTCGCCCGTTCATGCTCTGTCTCTCTCTGTCCCAAAAATAAATAAACGTTGAAAAAAAAAATTTTTAATTTAAAAAAAAAAAAAAATTAAAAAAAAAAAAAGAAAGTGTCCTTAAGAAAGATACCAGAGAGTTTTCTCTCTCTCCCTCTCTTACTGTTTCTACACACACATGTATGAGAGAAAGGCCATGTAAGCACACATGGCAGCCATGTGCGAGCCACGAAGAGAGCCCTCACCAGACCAAAACTGACCAAACTGGTCAGCACCCTGGTCTTGGATCCCGCAGTTCCAGGACTGTGAGAAATTAATTTCTGTTGTTTAAACAATCAGTATGGTATTTTGTTATGGCAACGTGAGCTAACTAGGTAAATATCAAAATACAAATTAGCTCCTAAATTGACAATATGATGATGCTTTTCCAAATACATACAGTGCGTTAATACCTCAAAGAAAAAAGCAAGGCTCAAATGCTAATACATTCAGTTTACTGGACAGCGGTTTTCAAGTTAGATTTCCACAGAACACAGATGTTCCACAGACGGGACCCAGTTGTTCCTTTGCTAAAACACAATTCATAGCACTCATACAGGGTTGATGAAGTGTTTACAATTTTTAGATGTTTTTCTCATAGTTTTTCTTTTTTAAGATGAGTTTATTTTCACCAGTATAAATAAAATAAGTGACAAATATTAACAAAACAACTTAGAAAGATTTCTGTAGGTAATACATATAATTACTCTACCACATCAACCCCAGAGCCCATCTGGCCCACTGGTACTAAAGCAACCAACACAGCCAATCTGGCCAAGGGTAAAATCTGACCCCGATGCATCCAAAATGTCCACAGACCAGGATGATAATATCACAGGCTCCAGATACAGGCAGACCTGGGGCTGGAACTCCAGAAACATGTGGCCCTGAGCAAGTTCATGAGCATGTTTCCTCATCTATGATAACAACCTATCTCACAAGGTTGCTAAAAGTATTAAATAATATAATACAGCAGAGTGTTGAGGACATGGCGAATGTTCAGCAAATGTTATCACTATTACTCTTTACTTCTTACAACTTGGAAAGAAAAGCTGTACCCAAACAGACTGTGGTCATAAACCAGGCAAATCAGACTCCTTGTTTTAGAAAGGTAAGGAGAGTCTACAAAGGTAATTATTAACCACCAACCCTGGAGGGAGAAGTGGAATAAATCAACAGAGAGAAGCAGGAGACTAACTGAGCCCTCAAAGCCACCCTAAAATCCTTTTGTCTGTCCTTTTCCATGTGTTACAACACCTATTTCAATCGTTTCCATCCTCCTCCAGCTTCCAATACCACTTCCTCCCTCATTCTCAGTGACTGTCCTTTCTTGGGAACTCAAGGAAGAACAGAGGCTACAAGGCAAGGGTATTCCTGCCCATTCTCTGCAAAATTATCCACATCCACAAATATCTTCTTTCTTCCCAAAGTGACATAAGAAGAGTCCCCCGTACCATCAAAGCCAATCTTTCCCAGGGCATCTGGATAGCACCTATGTCTCCCCAGCCCTTCCACCCCCATCCCCACTTCCTGTGAACACCTGCTGCGTTTACCAGCCTCTCCCACCTATACCTTTAACTTCGTTCTTTGTGTTGACATGCTTGCTTCAGCAATGGGCACATTAAAATAAAACATATCAAAACCCTCCCTCTGTCCACCATCTTTCTATCACTCTCCCTCATATCTTCTCCTTCCTTTCACTCAAGTCCAACTTCCCAAAAATGTGTCTACACTGTACAATTACTATCATCCCCTGGTTTACAGTCGTTTCAGAATGGTTTCTCATCTCTTTACTTCACTGGAACATTTATGCCAAGTTCTCCTGTCTGTGTGTTGATAAATCCTAAAAGACCCTTTCCTTATTGTATTTACCAGCCTATAGCACTTGACCCTTCACAAAACCCTGTTAATCCTCTGACTTCTAGGCCATCACTCTCTGCATTTCCTCCTGTCCCTCTGGCTATTCCTTCTCAGTCTTTTCTGCAACGGGCTCCTTTTACTTCTCCCTGGCAGATTCCCAGAATTCTTCCATTCTATAAGCCTTCCTCAGCAATCCATTTCAATGGCTGCAACTCAAAAATAACCTCTCCATCAGAGATCAAAAGTCCCTGTTGCAGAGATGTCCCAAATTCAGCTTGTCCAAAATGGAACATGTCACTTTACCCGAAAATCTATTCCTCTTATTGTATTCTCTATGTATTCTAGTTGTTCAAATTAGGAACCAGCGTATCATCTCTGATTCCTCTTTCTTTCTCACTTCGATATCTACTCAGTCAACAAGTTGTGCTGATTCTATTTCCAAAATATTTTTCAGTTCATTTCCTTCTCCAATTTCTCCAGCCACCACCCTGCACTGGTGATCATCATTTCTTACCTGAATTATAGAAATATTTCCTTAAATATTAGTCTCCCTGCCTCCAGTCTGACCTCACTTGCCTCTAATACATCCTCCATTTTTTCCAGGTTGGTCTTTCTTAAATGTAGATATACTCATTTCACTTCTACATATAAAATGTCCAATAGTCCCTCACCCTCAGGATAAAATCAAAATTCCTGTTACATTTGGCTTCTGCCTACCTGTCCAGCCTGCTTTCATCATTATCTTCCCAGAAACACACTCCACTGCACTGGAGTCAAATGAACCACCTTCAATTTCCTAAGTGAATGATGCTCCCCTGTGCCTGCATTTCTGCTTCTGCTTGAAATACACATTTTCCCTTCACCCTAGTGGACTTGAGATGCAGGCAGGCTTGGGCTCAAATTCCAGCTCTGGGAGCTCTGTGCTTTCACTCATCAGTAAGGACTCACTTTCACTGGGCAGAGTACTGGGAATATAAACCTGCAAACAGATATTGCCTAAGGAAGCTCACAGTCTCATAAAGGAGAGAGAGAAGCACTGAGATAATCAGAATTTAGTGTGATAATTCTCATAGAGGGAAACAAAGGAAGTGTAACAGTGAAGAAGGTTTCCTGGAGGAAATAACTCCTGAGTAAAGTCCTGAAGGATGTTCACCAGTATATGACACTCATTTACAAACACTTATTGACCACTTCTCACAGGCCAGGCTCCAAGTGCTAGAGTCCATGGAGAAGAAGCCAAAACCCTGCCCTCATGGAGCTTTCATTCTAACTCAACTCCACTTTATGACAATGTCAATACACAACTTAAAAGTTTTCCTCCAAGATCTTAGATTGGGATACTTTCATAAAACATACGTTAACAGGAAGCTTCTGCTCTGAATTCAAAATGAATAAACAAGGGGCAGCTGGGTGACTCGGTCAGTTAAGGGTCTGACTTTGGCTCTGGTCATGATCTCACTGTTCATGAGTTTGAGCCCCGCATTGGCCTCTGTGCTGACAGCTTGGAGCCTGGAGCCTGCTTCAGATTCTGTGGCTCCCTCCCTCTCTGCCCCTCCCCCACTCACACGCTGTCTCTTTCTCTCTCATAAATAAACAAACTTCTTAAAAAAAATAAGAAAAATGAATAAGCAAAAATTCTACATTTCTTTTAAGAGCTAATAAGGAAAGAGTACAGAATTCTTTTTGATCACTGAATAATACTCCACATATATATACCACATCTTTTTTATCCATTCATCTGTCAATGAATATTTGGGCTCTTTCCATACTTCTATAAACACTGAGGTACATGCTGCTATAAACATTAGGGTACATGTGCCCCTTCAAAACAGCACACCTAACTACATGGCAATGAGAAAGAATGAAATATGGCCCTTTGTAGCCACATGGATGGAACTGGAGAGTGTTATGCTAAGTGAAATAAGCCATACAGAGAAAGACAGATACCATATGTTTTCACTCTTATGTGGATCCTGAGAAACTTAACAGAAACCCATGGAGGAGGGGAAGGAAAACAAAAAAGAGGTTAGAGTGGGAGAGAGCCAAAGCATAGGAGACTCTTAAAAACTGAGAACAAACTGAGGGTTGATGGGGGGTGGGAGGGAGGGGAGGGTGGGTGATGGGTATTGAGGAGGGCACCTTTTGGGGTGAGCACTGGGTGTTGTATGGAAACCAATTTTACAATAAATTTCATACATTGAAAAAAAAAAACAGCACACCTATATCCCTTGGATAGATAACCTTGTAGTGCAATTGCTGGCTCATAGGGTAGTTCTATTTTTAGTTTTTTGAGGAACATCCATACTGTTTTCCAGAGTGGCTGCATCAGTTTGCATTCCCACCAGCAGTGCAAAAGGGTGTTTCCTTCTCTGCATCCTCACCAACATCTGTCATTACCTGAGTTGTTCATTGTAGCCATTCTGACAGGTGTGAGGGGGTATCTCATTGTGGTTTTGATTTGTATTTCACTCATCATCAGCGATGTTGAGCATCTTTTCATGTCTGTTAGCTATCTGGATGTCTTCTTTGTTAAAGTGTCTATTTGTGTCTTTTTCCTATTTCTTCCCTGGATTATTTTTTGGGTGTTGAATTTGAAAAGTTCTTTAGATTTTGGATACGAACCCTTTATCTGATATGTCATTTACAGGTATCTTCTCCAATTCTGTTAGTTGCCTTTTAGTTTTGCTGATTGTTTCCTTCACTGTGCAGAAACTTTTTATCTTGATGAGGTCCCAATAGTTCATTTGTGCTTTTGTTTCCCTTTTCTCTGGAGACATGTTGAGTAAGAAGTTGCTGCAGCTGAGGTCAAAGAGGTCGTTTTCTATTTTTTTCTTCTAGGATTCTGATGGTTTACATTTAGGTCTTTCATCTATTTTGAATTTATTTTTGTGTATGGTATAAGAAAGTGGTCCAGGTTCATTCTTCTGCTCTATCCTCCAATGGAGTATTACTCGACAATCAAAAAGAATGAAATCTTGCCATTTGTGACAACGTGGATGGAACTAGGTATTATGCTAAGCGAAATTAGTCAGAGAAAGATAAATATCATATGACTTCACTCATATGTGGGATTTAAGATACAAAACAGATGAACATAAGGGAAGGGAAGCAAAAATAATATAAAAACAGGGAGGGGGACAAAACATGAGAGACTCTTAAATACAGAGAAAAAACTGAGGGTTGCTGGAGGGGTTGTGGGTTGGGGGAGGGCTAAATGGGTAAGGGGCATTAAGGAGGACACTTGTTGGAAAGAGCACCGGGTGTTATACGAAGGGGATGAATCACTGGATTCTACTCTTGAAATCATTATTGCACTATATGCTAACTTGGATGTAAATTTAAAAATAAATAAATAAAATTTTTAAAAAAGAGAGAAACAGAAGAAAAAAGAATGAAATATTGCCATTTACAACAAGGTAGATGGAAGTAGAATGTATTATGCTAAGCGAAATAAGTCAGTCAGAGAAAGATAAATACTTGATTTCACTCATATGTGGAATTTAAGAAACACAACAGATGAACATAGGGGAAGGGAAGGAAAAATAAGATAAAAATAGAGAGGGAGGCAAACCATAAGAGACTCTTAAATACAGAGAACAAACTGAGATTTTCTGGAGGGGAGGTGGGTAGAGGGATGGGCTAAATGGGTGATGGGCATTAAGGAGGGCACTTGTTGGGATGAGGACTGGGTGTTGTATGTAAGTGATGAATCGCTAAATGCTACTCCTGAAACCATTATTATACTATATGCTAACTAATTTGGATTTAAATAAAAATTTAAAAATATAAAGAAAGAAAGAAGGAAAGAAAAGAAAGAAAGAAAGAAAAGAAAAGAAAAAAGAAAAGAAAGTCTTTTTTTTTTTTTTTTT